TGATAATATAATAAAAATTTAAATATTACTTAAATTAAAAATTTAAAGTATAGATACTTTTGCATCCATTCTAATTTTCCTAATTCAAGCACTGCATAAAATAATATAAAATCTAAACAAACCATTTTCCGTAGAATCATTTTCTGGATCATCAATTATATCAGTCATTTTTAATATATTGGCAGCATTATCACTGGTAATAGAAAATATCTGTCTCTTAGCTATACCATATTTATCCAAAACATTTGATACCTTTTTTAAAATAAAAAAAAAAATAGATTTTTAAATTAATTTAAATATATAAATAATACAAAACCATTAATTAGTAAATCAAAATTAAAATGATTCTATTACAATTTACTATTAATTATTCTAAACTTTAATTTTAATATTTTATACTTTATAGTACCATATTACCATTTCTTTCAAGTATATAGCACTGTGTCGCTCCATCAATTCGGTTATTGCTAAGGTTTTCAACTGTAAAACATTATGCTGCATATATTGTATATTAATTCCTATTAAAGATCTGTTATGTCTCGTTACACAATCTACCTTTAGGCTTATTAACCGATTAGCTATGTCAGTTGTTATATTATTTATAATCAGTTGGGTTTTGTCTATAATATGGCATTTTATGTTATGAGAGTTAATTGCAAATCCTATAAGATGAAAACAATTGGTTAGGTAGGTAGATAAAGAATACAATTTAAGTTTTAAATTACTACCTAATATTTATTTGTTAAATAAGAATTAAGTATAAATCTACCTGTTTCTGGCAATCCTTCTATTATAGGATTTAGTAATTTTCTAAATCCTGAATCGTGAAGGATAGAAAATGGTCGGCCGTTCACTGTTACCATTTCCACGCAAGCATCAATTATTTCATCTTTTGATAAAGTAATTTTCATACTTTTTTAGTAACTGTAATCATACTATCCAACGACATTTGTCCTGCGGTTCTCTGGTCATAAAAATTAAATATAAAAATATATTTTATAATAATAAATATTAGGTGCTTACCTTAAATAGTAAATACTAGTTTTAAAAGGTAGATAATAATTTATTAATTTAAGCTTATATGCATTTTATCATTATTGCAAAGATACAATAATAATAAATTGCCTAAATTAAAGTGGTTGAAAAGAAAACTTGAAAATTCAAAATAGAATGTATTTTAAATACTTAAATATATTACAATGTTATCTATTAAAGGGAATCACGACGTTGAGCCGACAACCAGTAGGCCGACAAGATATAAAGCCGACGGCGTTTGGCCGACAAGATATCAGGCCGACATGGTATCTAAATTGTATATATTAATGTTTAAAAATAAAAAATTGTTTACTTAATTACAATTTATTTTCGTCTAAAAAATATATTAAAAAATTAATTACATATTTTAATATAAATTTAATTTTAAAATAATATGTTATTGTTAAATTAAAATATATTTAATATCAATATTAATAGTATAATCGTCATAAAAAATTAATTACATATTTTAATAGAAATTAAATTTTAAAATAATATGTTATTGTTAAATTGAAATATATATAATATCAATATTAATAGTATAATCGTCATAAAAAATTAATTACATATTTTAATATAAATTTTAAATCGTAAATCGTAAAAAAATTACATTTATAGTTTTATATTATAAGCTATACCTTTTAGAAAATCTATCAGGGTCCTATTACCTTTATCATTAATAATATTATTTAACCGTTTCTTACGAGCAGCATATTTTGGATGTTGTCGAAGCTTTGGTTCTCCAGATAGAATGAGTTCAATTTGACCTAAAACATCAGATTTAATTATGAATCATAAATGAAATACATATAATGTTAAATAAATTATATATTACTACACTAGTATACTAACCTATTGTATTCATCTGTTCTTTTTTCATTTCTGAAACAATATGTAAACACCCAATATGATCTGCTCCAATTAAAGTCTTCCAACGTTTGTGCCATGATTCTACCTTGTTTTGAGTTCGAGGTATATCTAATTCGTTGTTATGACTTACTGACCAAAATTCTGGTGGAAATAAGGGTGGAGACCGAGATATTGTGCCATTTCTAAATGTTCGACGAATTTTCCCATTTACATAAGTCTCATCAAACCAATTATAAATTTCGATTGGTATATACTGTTTTATTTCATTAAATGCTGTTATTATTTCATTTGGTTGTAAAAATGCCAATGCAGGAATATAGCGTAATTGTAAACTAAAATGTTCATCGGTACCATACGCAGTAGCCAATCCACACGATTGAATTTTCCTCCAAACATTCTGAGCCAAATGAAAAAAGCACCCTTTTTGGACACATTCTGGAAATATGTTGTGTATTGCATTAATTGCTGCTTTTTCGAAATCAGTAATTATACAAGTTGGATTAAGTTCATAACCATAGTTATTGCCTATCTCAATCAGATCTTGAAATAAGTGTTCATAACATTTTTGATTTTTACTTGACATTAAAACATAAACTAATGGAAGAATTCTCGAGTTTATTCCTCCAACTGGGGCGTGAATAGTGTACATTTGTAAAAATATATTTGGGACTGTCTTGAAAGTCCCGTCCATAATCCAAAATTTAGCTCTTACAAGTTTTTCAATTTCAAATTTGGTTGAAAAAATCAATATTTTATCGTTTTCTATTTGAGACTCACGTAATAGAAATAATTCTCCAGCAAAAGTATTTCGTAGACTTTCAGGAATATTAATATCTTCTAAAGTTGTTGGTTCGGCAGGTAAAGATTTTCTTCTTCTACGTTTAATAATTTTCCGTACAGCTTCAGGACCAGGTAAATATGGTTGAATACTTAATGGTATATTGCTAACTACTTCTTGCAATATTTGCGATGGTTTATCACGTGTAGAATGTGCTCGTTTTTTTATATCTGATCGAAAATCTATAACTGTTGCCCTGTGAGCTTCGGGTGCGTGGTTATGATCTGTAGGCGTGCCACGAAGTGTATGTAAACCATTGACACAATCAGTCGTAGCTCTGGCATTACAATTTTCATGTGTTTCTAAAGTTTTCCTATGGATTCTTTTTTCACACTCCCAGTTGTACCGATTTTCACGCACTTTATTTCGGACCATAACATAGCCATTTATAATAAGTTTGTTGTTCAACAAATAACACTCCATTATTATAAAATAAAATACGACGAAGGCACAAACCTCACTGATTCAATATTACATCAGAGAATAACACATCGGCTCTTCGGTTGTATGATGTATATTACTGGTTCGATATCTTATCTCAAATAATTGCTTTGATAAATATCGATATAATTTGGAAATTTTGGATATAATATCTTTATCGCAATAATAATACCCAACGTCGCCGACGGCTCTTCGGCCGTCGGCTCGTCGGTTGTCGGCTCTTCGGCCGTCGGCTCGTCGGTTGTCGGCTCTTCGGCCGTCGGCTCGTCGGTTGTCGGCTCACCGTCCCAGTCCCCTATTAAAGTTACTGTAAAAATTAAAAAGTAGTATTCAATAATATTTATATTTTATACTAATGTCTAATATTAAACAATAATCCATACTGTGTTAAATAAATAAAATTACCTTAACTGAAGCGGGTATTGAACTTTCTAAATTTGAAGTTGTTGATACATTGTCATTTTTTTTTTTCACCAATAATTGGTACTCATTTTTATGACGAGCATTTATATGTTTCTCTAAGTTTGAACTATGTTTTCCTAAAAGTTCTGGATTAGGACATCCATTTATTGTACAAGTCGATGTATTTCTTCCGGCATCATATTTAAAAAACATAGATCCTACAGGATTCTTCATAACGATTAACGATTGATATATTTTGTACTTATAAAAATTACGATCACACACACACGTACTGACGCACTTTACCGTAAAATACAAATACCGTACGCTGTTAAGATTTAATAAAGACGACTGACGAGGTTTTGAAATACAAAATGTTTTACTTATCACTTATCATGTGTTTATGTGAGGATTGTTATTTTTAGATTATTTTTAGATTTCCCATTTTCCCAGTACAATATACGATAAGGGAGACCGGGACTATCGACTATCGAGCAGATATTTAATCTATTCTGTGTATCGAGTACCGCCATTACCAACCAACGATATTTTATGTTATAAGTAGGTAGGAAATAGAAATGTAGAATACCAATTATTTGAATTGTTATTACAAGAATTTAGACTAGGGAAAAAAAACGAAGATAGTAAGATAGTAAGATAGCGTATAATCACGTATGTAGCTAAAATAAATTAAACATAATATTATTAATTATTATAGTTCATACGTAACGGTAGTTAGTATTTATAAATACCGGTAGTCGGTTCTTAACCGGTTAAAACATATTACGTTAATATAACGTTTTATGTTAGCTGAAAAATTGTCACGGTAACCGGTAACCGATAACCGGGAGTACAAATAGGTTTATAATAACGGTAACCGATTATAGGTTCCCCAAAATTCCGGGAAATTACCGGTTTTTGGTAAAAACCGGTAACCGGTTTCAAGCCCTGCCTCCCCCCCCCCCCCCTCACCCACCAAAAAAAAAAACTATTTCTTAAAAAGTAAGGTGTAACTATTTTGTTGTATACAATTTTGGTACAAAGAAAATTGAACCAACTACATAAACATAATAATACATTAATATGCTACTGTCCAGAGCCGTGCCGTTACGATTTGGCGTCCGGGGCAAAATTAAAAATATTCGCCCCCTATTTTATTTATCATTAATCATAATGCGTTTCATTCCTATTTAATTTAATTTAATTTTTTTTTTACAACGTATTTTGAACATTAATTTGACAAAAAACTAAAGTTAATTGTAATAGTAATTATTAAACAAAATAGTTAGGTATAATTTATTAATTTATACCGTATTAAATAATTAAAAATGATAAAAATCACAAATTATATTATATATACATGTTATATTTACAAACGTATCATAAGAGCGTATCATATATAAGTATCATATAGTTAAAACTTAATTTTTCTGGACTTTATTGAAGCAAAATCTTCAATGACGTCTTCAAAATCAATGCTTTTTGTTATTTCTGGTCAATTGATAATATTGCAGAATTGGTTAATCTGTTTTGCGACATGGTTGACCGTAAATACGTCTTAGTTTCAATTTACTAAAAGAGCGTTCCCCGGAAGCGACGGTAACAGGCATGGTAAGAAACAATCTATATGCAGTCATTAAGTTTGGAAAAGTTGAATCAAGTTCATATTTTTTAATTGCGTTTAAAATATTTAAAGCAGTTGCGTTTAAGTCTGGTAAAATTGCTTTTACTTGATATTTAAAAAATTCGATTTCGTTAATTATTTCCTGGTCAATATCTTCGTTGTATTTGATAGCTAAATCAGCTGCATATTTTTTCAATTTTTCAACTGGTGTAACAAATAGTGAATGAGCAGAAAGGAATTGAAAATCATCAGCAATATTTGATAATTGTTCAAACCTCCATTTCATTTGAGCCATCATATTATCAAGAACTTTGTAGTATTCCAATGTTAAAAATTGATCTGCAGAAATATCTTCACCCGATGAATTTTCTCCACTCATAACTTTCCTTTTTATTGTCCTTTTGATTTTTAATTCAGATTTTATTCCAACTTTATCACAAATACTAATAGTTTCAGTTTTAATTTGTTCATTTCCACTATCACGCATTTCTTGGAGAGAAACATTTAAACAATTTATCATTTTTGAAGCCTGATCTATTGAAATATTTGAGCTTTGTAATAATTTATTTACACGATATATTTGATTCAATATTTTATCCCACATGACTAAAAAATAAACAAATTCCAAATCAAACTGTTTCAATATACTTTCTGCATTAGCAACCCCATCGCCAAAAATTGGATTGGTAGATATTATGTCACGTAAAGCTTTTATCACACCGCCAAATTGACAATACAACGAATGAACTGCATTATATTTAGATGCCCAGCGTGTGTCACTATGCGTTTTTAATGTTATTTTCAAACACCGCATTAGTACTTCCCATCGACTTGTTGATCCAGAAAAATAGTTAAATATATTTTGTACAATACCGAAAAACGAAATCATTTTTACTGATACACTAGCAGCATGTACGCCGATTAAATTAAGGCTGTGTGCAGCACAAGGGACAAACTGAGCATGTTCATTAATCTCTTTTAATCGAGCTTGTACACCTTGATATTTTCCCGCCATGTTTGCGCCGTTATCATAGCCCTGTCCACGACAATTCTTAAAACTAAGTCCATCTTTCTCCAACTTTTGTAATACATCAGAAGCTATTCCAAGTCCAGTCTTTTCATTGGTATAAATAAAATCTACGAAACTTTCTTCAATGACAAACTCGTTATTAACTTCTCTAACATATCTTATAATTTCACAGAGTTGATCTTCAAGAGAAATGCTAGTGGATATGTATCTATAGTGGGTAAGTGGATGTCGCTCTGCTGTACTGTAGGTCACAAGTGGGGCACTGTATAATGGATGGTATTAAATTTGAATGCAATGATATAATATCATTGTATAAGAAAAACGATTCTGAGCGAAGACGGTATGTCAGTCTAGGTTTAAGTCGTTTAAGACAAATTATATACATATCTATGGTATTAAAAAAAAAATTGACCTATAATAAATTCCAAATTAATCATATCACATTATCACAATATCCATTAGGTACTTATAACATGTTATACATCTACATCAATAACAAACCCTGATACTATCATAGATATATAATAGTACACTTTAGAAGTTTCAAGTAGGTACCCACGAATAATATTATATAATCACAACAAAATAACTAGGTTTTTTAATATGTAATTTCGTCCAAATTTGAACATAAAATGACTATAAAAATAAACTGTGATTGTATATTTTTTAGATTTTTCGGTAAGAGAATTAACTACTTACGTGGAATCTTGTTTTAAATTTTCAATCCTTAGCTATAAAAACTGAACATTTAATAATTTATTAATTACGATGATTAATAATTTTCGAGATTTTGAAAAATTCTGTCAAAATTCGATGTTTAAATGCTTATAAAAAAAAATTGTGCCTATGTATTTTTAATATTTTTCAACTGATATTGTAACAATATATCAGGAGACTTGTATTAAATTGTTATACACTTTTATTGTATACACTTTTTGGCCCAACAGATAAAACTTAATTGATAATCATAGAAAAAAAGACTAAAAAAATTGAAAAATGAAAATATCAGTAAACAGCTCAAAAATAGTCAAAATATTTTAAAAATTGTATGGTGTATAGGAAATGCTAATATAAAAATTCAGTGAAATTTTCATGTATCTATAGTTATTCGTTTATGAATAACAACAAAATAAGGAAATCGCTACATGAGAAATCGAGTGAACATCCAATGTTGTAAAAATTTGAATTTCAAACGCTCATAAAAATTTAATTTTACTGTCCGGTAGAGATTTTTTATTGATAAAGGTAGACAAACTTATGAGTAATCTTGTATTACATTTTCAAATCTTAGATTTAAAAAGAAAAATTTTTGCGAATTCTTAACTCAAAATAATTTGCTAATTTTCGTGATTTTCGTGACTTTTGCATTCAACATTTCCTAACGATGAGTCGACGCCGTAAAAAAACAGTATACTGCTTGTAACAGTTCAAAAAAATGACAGGCTTCTTCACAACAATTTGCTGCACAACTACCAACCAAATTTAGAGAGTGTGCAGCACACGGAGAATACTCAGCTAGTGGATTAACCTCCTTGATTCTTGCCGTTCTTATGTTCAAAAACCCAATCTATTTATAAATAGTATGTTAATAATATAATTTATATTATTTTCCGACAAACTGATGTTAACAATATTATACCTTTTCGATCTATAATAATGTTTTTAATAGAAGGTTAAAATTATGTAAATTTATTTATTTTTTCTCAACAGTTAATATACAATAATAATTTATCAACATAAATTTGCCGCCCCCTAAATGGACTAAACAATTTGCCGCCCCGGGCAACAAGGTACACTTGCCCCCCTCAAATACGGCCCTGAATATTATATAATAATTCACAGCTGATACGGACAATTAAAACAGAAATAAAAACAATAATATAAATAATAGGGACAAGCAGGTAATAGGTATTTGATTGCATGTGTGTGTGTGAGTCAGGTGAATTATCTGGTGATACGGCAGCGACACAAATGTAAAACCCTGGGTTGCAGTCCCGGGTAGAAATATTGGTTTTCAGTTAGTGTCAGTAGTTATATTTATTGGTCCTGGACTGTTGCCAGACATCAGTCCAACACGCTGAACACTTACATTTGAATACAACAAGATCATAGAAAGTGTCAAGTTTGGACACCAGTGTTTAAATGGTGTCTATAAAATAAACATGGACTTGTGTCTGAACAGTGCCGGGGGCGTATTTATGGGGCTGGGCTGGGGGCAGTGGCCGATAGGCTTATATTATTTTTACCGGGAACTGGGAAGTAATTTGAATAAGGGCCCCCAAAAAATAAACTTTATGCGAAACTTTATAAAACCCGTTTTGAAGTTATTAATGAAAAACTTCGAAAACTACATTTTTTTCGTAAACGCTCATTAAAAAAAAAAAAAAAAATTAGAACTGAATGTTGCTCAGACAAAAAAAATCGAAAATATCCCCCGATTTGCTGTGTGAAACCACCTTTGGTAGGCTTAGGAATTAAACATAGTTGTTAAAAAGACCATAATCGGTTAACGTTGTCACTAGCTCTCTGCGTTGCACTCGGACAAAAAAAATCGAAAAAACACCATACACGAGTTCCTCCTCCACATTAAAGTAGTGTTGCGTACATGAGTACCTATATACGTAAAATCGCAAAATTTGAATGCGGACCAACTTCCAAAATAATGGTTTCCGCAAAAAAATTCAGTTTCGAAATCAGCATAAAAACCTGCACACATTTTGAAAAAAAAATTTAAAAACCTATAAAAGCGTATAACCACCGCATTGGTACATTATATAGTACGCAGCTATAATCTATACTGATATAAAATACGGTTTTCTATAACTCTAATCTAAAAATAAACCTCAGTATTCAAAATGATACGGCCGATACTGGGAACAAAAATAAATATTGTTTATAGCTAACTGGTATTTTTCTTGTAGAGGGGTTAAAAGTATTAAATTAGTCAATTTGCATTTTAAAATTATTTTCAATCTTCATCACACAAGGTTCAATACTTCATAAATGGTCCTAGGGCCCCCATACATCAGCAAAGGATAGGGCCTACCGGGAAAATCCCGAATTCCCAGTGGGCCTATCCGCCACTAGGCACATGGGGTCTGTACCCTCCCCATTAATTATAAAATTATATCCTATTTTATTTTTTTTATTTTACAGTCTCGTGAGAGCTGTTTCCTCGCGATTTCGTATCGTGTCTAACCGCCTGAAAACTTTACCGTTCGTAGTACGAGGTATCGGTATCTTCCCTTGCTGATTATTCTATAATATTTCACTATACTTGTCATTATTAATGACATGATTATCACTACTACTCCTAGTATTACACACGCTATATATATATACTTGATTTCGAGACTTTCTTGAATACATACAATTGCTTTTTTATCATTTTCAATATTACCATACTGTGCGTTGTTTACAATTATTGCTCGTTCACTTCCTGTTGTACCTACCGTAATCAACTGGACGGCGTTAGGGAAAAAGGGTTAAGTCAAATTTAACAACTTTTCAGGAGACGAAAAAAACTGATTAGTTTTAGTTTTTTTGTAAGAATAGTAATGGACGTATTTTTAATTAATTAAACTATTTTTATTATAATTTAAAATTATATAGTTTTAATGAAAAAGTTAATTTTATAAATTATTGATGATTTATTCCCTATTGCACTGAATATATTGAAATATAGTGACTTATGCCCTTTTTCACTACTGACTTATACCCTTTTTCACCATTATGATGTATATATTTTTTGAAAATATTCATTGTGAAAAAGGGTATAAGTATTAAACAATATAAAAAAATATATTTTATATTATTATTATTATTAATTAATTATAATACATTTTTTTAATTTGTATTGTTTTATACACGTAGTTAAACAATAAAAATAATAAATACACAATATTCTTAATTATCGTAATTTCCTTTTATTTTACAAATGTTTAATCATATAGCTATAGGTATAATATAATTTTGTTATTGACATAATAATATAAAAAATAATATAAGCTTTTTGTATTTTATATTAGGTAATTAATTTATAACCACATCATACAAATATGTATTAAAAAAAATAAAACATTTCCATATTATTGAGATTCTTACTTTAGGAACATAATGTGATGTTTAATATCATTAAGGTTATTCAGTACATTAATGATTTATTAAAAGTTATAATTAAAATTAAATTCAGATAGGTAACATCAAAAATACAAAGAAGTTAAAAAAATATACATATGTATAATATTGATCACCTATTTAAATTATAGATTTCCTAACTATAGGAACATTCATATTTTAACATTATTAAGTATGATAAAGGTTTATTAAAAATTAAAATTAAAATTGAATAAAAATAACAAAACAAAAAATAAAACTAATATTTTTAAATAACAGAGTTCTTTGCTTTAAGAACATGCATTTATTAAAATGATAAAAAAAAAACAACAAGATTTATTAAAAGTTGCAATTAATATTGAATAATATAAGAAGAGAATAAAATAAGACTAAATTTTAAAAATATGATGAAAACTTACTCTCCTTCATCAGACACAAATGGATCACTTACATCATTTTTTGTTTTTAAGTTTTTATAAAATGTGTGATATAACTCTGGAATGAACTGTAGTAATGACATTAAATCTTTTTTCTTCTCTTCAGTTATTGGCAATTCTTCATTATATGCTTTGGTTATTAAAGCAATCCTTTTGGTTAAGTCCATTTTATGAAATATTTCATTATCATTCAAAGATAATTTGTAAGACACAATATTTTTGTCAGATTTA